CCCAATAATTAAGAATAATCCCAAGCAAAAAGATTAGAAACCAATAGACTTTATCTCTTGATCTCATGTGAAGCTCATCAACTATATTGCTGTTAATTAGCAAAGATTGTTTCATCCAGGTATCTCAGCTACTATGTCAGCATAAAGCAAGAGAAAAACCCCCATTTAAACTGCCTCATTCCTTGCAAGGGTCAACACAAAGGGAAGTTCTAAAAGCTTTATTCTCAGATGCAGAAATAGTTACTGATTTTAAAAACAATTTCTAAAGTTTTTTAGAAAAAGACATTTTTTGGTAAAAGACATTTTCTTTCTTCCTTTCTTTTGAGGTAAAAGACATTTCTAGACTCTCAAATGTTAGCAGAGTATATCCTTCAATTGCCATTTAATAAATCTGTACACTTGTTCATAATGTAAACACTTTATTTCATACCTTAAAATTTACTGTATAATCATGTCATGAAAGTTTGCTGAACACATATGGATTCTCTTAGTATACTGACACTTTTTCATTCTTAAGTGGCTAAGAACATGAGGTTTGTTCTCTGCTTAACAGCCTGCAGTGAAGATTAAAAAAAAGGCTTCAATAAGCACATATATGCTCAAAAATAAACCCCAGGGGTCTCTGACTATTTTCCAGAGTCATTGCCACTTTCTTATTCCCTGTGTCCCTTCAAAACAGTTCATGTGCCACCACTGAATATAACATCTCTATTCCTTTTCACATGTCTTATCCACCCCAATTTGGAACATTTTTCCTTCTGATCCTTCAAACTCTCCTTAAGCTTTAACTTCTTCAGGGAGAGCTCCCTCAAAAAATCATTACATGGCACTAACCATAAGATAGATAGGTAGGATGACAGATACACTGTAAGGTTTAGATAAACAATGAGGCGCTATAGCAGAATTATTCAATCGTTCAAATTAAAAGACTATAAATTATATTGGGGCATCTTTATAATATTAATGTGCACATACAGCCTAAAGCAACTGGTATATAAGATATTGTTTCTGAAAAAAAAAATGTATGTGTGGCATCCACTTATTACTCACCAAATCAATGTATTTAAAACCAACTTAATAAGCTAGATGATTGAGGAAACATTTAGGTGTCTTATCAATTCTCCATACAGGTCAGAATTAAAGCCTGCACCAAAACACACTTCTTCATATACTATTTATACCCCAACCATATGAAGTCTATGTTAGCACAATTTCCTAATCTTATCATCCACTTCCTCCATGTAATTCTGGGTGTAGCATGATGAAAACATAGGGCTTTTAAGAACCATTCAATCATACTAAAGTTGAAAGGGTAACCAGTGAATCTAGCAATTTAAAGTTTAAATGCCACCTATCCTCAAAATAGCTTCATCTATTTGATGTCAAACCAGTAAATATGAAATATGACAACAAACAAAAATAAAAAGTCAAACATACAGTGTTCTTCTTAACACAATTACACCAACATCTTTTCCTAATTTTTTACTTAGGATTTTTTTGTTTGTTTTTAATTTTCCTTTACAACAAGAACACAGTCTATACCTATGTTGTTTCACTCTGTGTTTGCTTATGTCTTTGTCTCTACACCACCCTGTCATGAATGACATAAATTCACCCTAGTCTTTAGTAGGTTTCAACAACACATTCTTTGTTTCAATGTTATATCTCTTGAGAAATGACTCTTGAAGAGAGGTTGAGTAGTTTTAATTTCATTTGAGAAAAAGGCAAGGAAATGTTCTCACCAAATCCAGGCATTTCAATTTACAGGTAAGCATCATTCTTGTTAGTACTTATGAATTATAAAAGAGAAACACAATTCTCCCTACAATAATAACTGGTAAACAAAATCATAAATACTCTTCTACATTTTCATTCGCAATCTATTGGCTTGGCTACTATTACTGAAAATTCATCTCACATCAATTGCTACAACACTATTTTTGTTGCATTTAAAGCACCACAGCAGCACTGAATAACCAAGTCAAGTAGTCAAGTAAAAATATGTCATAGGTGCCACTACACTGTTTCTCGAAAGACTGTGAATTCAAATGTGAAATGTGATGTCACCAAGAATAAGTCAGAATTCAGGGTCAGTTTTTAACCTAAGAGGTTTGAAGGGTTTCAAAGAAAATTAACACTTTAAGGGGGCATTTATAAATTTGACTGCATTCTACAACAGACCCTGTTTTTGTTTTCCCCCAAGATTATGGGTTCCATTAAGATCAGGTTCGTGAAAGTAGAGCAGCTAACTCACAGAGGATAGTGGGATTTTGTAGGCAAGAAAAGTCAAGCTACTCCACTCAGAGTGCTAATAGAGTATCCTGTGGTAAAAGGAAAAACTCTTGTGAGAAAGTCAATTGTGAACAAAAGAAGAGTTCCCAAAATCAATGCTGTTAAAACCCCTTCTCCCTCTGAAATCTAATATAAGCAAAGGAAAAAAAAAAAAAAGATGCTCACAAAAAAGAAAATAAAAAAATGTTCCCAATTTTTGTTTTTACTACTGCATTAGCAGAAAAGGTTAGAGATACTTTGATTTTGCTTCTTTAAATGGGTGAACATTCATAAGTCTCTTACACCAGTAGTTCGCTTATTCTCTTCTGTTTAATTTGGTCCAAGCAGAAAAAAAGGATATAATGTTGACATATTTGCTTAGGTATATGTGTAACTGAAAACAGTGAGAAAGGATAGCAATGTATGACCAATTTTTCTGTTTCAAATCCATGCAAATGCAACATAAAAAAAAAAAACTGTTGGCCCTCCCTGGTGGCGCAGCGGGTTAAAGCACTGCACTGAGAAACTAAAGCCACTTCCGCATGAGTTCGATTCCCGCCTGACCCGGAGGTGACCACATGGCGAGGCAGACCTCTCCTGACCCGCCCGCTGCTCCCCTCAGCAGTGTACTTCGTCGATCTGCCTGTTCTGCTCCCCACTCTGTCTCTGGTGAATCCTCTCACCCTCCACATCTCTGGCCTGTACCCCAGTTCTATACGAATAAATAATAAAAATCTTTAAAAAAAAAAACTGTTAAAACTACAAAGGTAAAGAGTAAAAGGGCTTTAATGTATGTTTAACTGTGCAAGCAGTAATTTGATGCAATCTGTTCAACTTACAGAACAGTACATGTCTTGTTATATACTATACACTTACTTGGTGCCCTTACATCTAAACCTCACCTACTGGCTACCCTGCTTAGAGCTTTCTAAGTACTATGTGTTTCCATGTGAAACCCGATATTTATTTGGAAGTTTAATTTGATGAAATAATTTTCCCTCTTCTTAGATTCTCAAAGCAGATTGGATTACACTCAAAGGTGGTAAAATCCACATTTCACACCACTCTTGTAGCATGATACCCCATTCTAGGAAAATCTCTTTTGACACCCCTCAATTATAATCTCCTTGCCTATTTCCATTATGAAAGGGGGAAATATTAAGTCTGAAGAAACCGTAGATGTATTAGAAAAAATTTTTTTAAACTAATGAAACTAGGAAAATAAAAATGTGAATAGTAGATTTAAAATGGTGGCAGATAATAGGTAGGTCAAGATACATCAGTTCTATAAAATTCTTATTTATGCATTGAATCCCAAAGCTGCTGCTAGGACTATAGACCACAGGAAGAGGGAAGAAAAGACAAAGCGAGACAGAAAGATCACAGGTATGAAAGAATAGTCTAGAACTTTTTATTCTAAACTTTGTTTTTATAATTACTGAAAGAAAAGCATAATAATGCCCCCCCAACCCCCTGCCGAAAAGTAAAGATCACTTTCAAAGACTGATAGAAATGGCATAAAATTTAACCACTGCTGTAAAATACTCTAGACATCTATATTTGCTGATGTCATCATCAAGCTATCACCAGCCACTCCAGCTTGAATTTGATACCTGGCCAGGGAGCTAACAAACATTATGCAACAGACTTTTCCTGCCTTGCCTCCTGCTCACCTCAACAGTATATTACAGTAGCTCTGACAGTTCTGCTCCCCAGTCTGTCTCTGGTGATTTCTCTCACCCCTCTGGCCTATACCCCAATTATTGTATATATAAATAAATAAAATGAATCCTAAATATGCTTATGTATCTACAAGTGTTGTATCAAACACTAAGGAGTGTAAAGATTTTGAGTCTATGAGTCATAAAGAGCATAGATGCCTCTGGAATGATGAAAGGTCATATCACATGAAAGGTATCAAATATGAAAAGGTTTACTGGATAAAACAGATTGCATTTCCATAGCAAGAAAGCTTATCTTGCCTTCCTAGCCAATCCTACAGAAGTAAACTGCTTACCAAGGAGAAAGGTCCACCTGAACCATTTCTTCAAAGGATACTCATGTTTTCTTCAATATGGCTGATACTATCTTCCAGAGTAGAACTATTATTGTCCACTCTTGGCATTTCAATCAGTTGAGTTAAATAAACAGGGGCTGGAATTTCCATCCCTCTATATTATCACTGTCTCAAAATCTGAAAGAAATGGCCTAATGCTGAGGTTGACCCTGTCTAATAGAGAGCCTGTGATGAAGGAAGTTGGTTCTCCTGAATCACCTTCTTCACTTCTTCTTCCTTCTTTATCTTCTTTTCATATTATGTAAAACTTGGCAATAACAAGTGCATCCTTATAGTTAAAGGTGATATGTATGCAGAAATTCTCACACGCATACACATATACCTTGACAAAAGGGACTACTACTCATTCATTGCTAATTGACTCATTCCAACATACCAGCACCTCAGATTGCAGCTTTCTTCTATACAACAAACCTTTAGCATATTTTATAATTATTTTTCATAAACATACTTTGAGGTAAATATTATTATTACCATTTTTAACATTCTAAATTACAGCAAATAACAGAACTTAGAGGTACTTGGCAAATAGTCAAGAAAACAAATAATAAATCTGTGAGTGTTGTGGATTGATTCTATCTAGAAGAATATGAAGAGACTGTCTAAGAATTACCCCTCCAATCACGATCCCTCCTCAGAACTGGCTGCCTACCTTCCTTGGCCCTCTGTGCAGCAAATGCTGGTATGCTCTGGGCACAGTAGACCTCTCGGGTCTGGAAGCCACCACCACAAACGGGTCCTGTCACATGCCAGTGGGGGTCCTGCTGCTCGAGGAGAAGAGACACTTGGCATTCTTTCCACTCAGATGTCCTCCAGGAATACCTGTTTGGTTGATTTATTTAAAAGAAAAATAGTAAGTGAGGGAAATATAAAATTCAAGCGATGATATCAAACACACATAATAATCTCTCTTTGGGGGCCAAACCTTTGCCTATGGAAACAGATGTCTATTGGCATTAAACACTGCTTACTAAATATTTTTATTAAGAAAATCAGCAGTGTAGCATATGAAGTAAGGAAATATGAATATACTGTGGATGTGTCTCAGTCTTGAAGTTATAAGAGAATAAAGAATTACAGGCAGGAGTTAGAAATCAAATGAATATATTCATAGCAACAAAAGTTGACAGGGAGTTTCTCTTCACAAACTTCTAGATGACTTTGGGTGAAAGTTGGCCTTTTCTTAGTTCATAGGATAGTATATTAATGTGTGAATTTATTTTAAATGGACAGAAATGACATCAAGTGTTTCAATCATTCTTCTTGATAAAGGGAAGTATTTATACCTGCTTGACTCTATATTTGCTTGGCATAAGGATATACATATTAAAAATGAGAATATGCAGAGCCGTCGCTGGTGGCACAGTGGATTAACGCACAGCATTAAGACGCTAAAGCCACTTCAGATGAGTTTGATCCCTGTCCCTGAGGTGATCCACATGGAGCTGCAGACCTCTACTGACATGCCCGCTGCTCCTCTCAGTAGTGTACTTTGTCAATCAGCCTGTTCTGCTCCCCACTCTGTCTCTGGTGAATCCTCTCACCACCCCTGCACCTCTGGCTTGTATCACAGTTCTGTATGTCTAAATAAATAAATCTTTAAAAAAAAATGAGAATATGCCTCTATATTTAATTGACAAATACGTATAAATGAAGACATGCTATTATTTAAACTGAATTAGGGAGATACCATCCTGGTTTATAACTTGTTCAGACACAGACACACACACATCATACAGAAATAAGGATGGGAGGGACACAGTGACATTTTTGACATAACTTACACAAAAGAAACAATCCTAGCAATATTACATTCATTCCAGAGAATTATTTCTGACAGAATTTCCTTTGGTGGTTATTACATCATTCTTCAAGCCCAAGAATTAGCATAATAACCCTACAGAATTCACATAAATACCAACAGCGTCCTTAATTTCTAAAACAATAACTAAAACCTAAGATCTGTATCTGCTGTCCCATTTCAGATTTCAAAACAAATACTTAGATTTGGTGTCGTTTAAAAAATAAATAAATAAATAAACATCAATTAAAAAAAAAAGAGCATGTATGACCAATATGTGACCAGGCCCCTGGCCTTATAGAAACTAGGGCTACAATTAAATCAAATAAAAGATGTCAAAATGAGTAACCTTTGAAAATGAATAGCAAGCATACAGCCTCACTGTGAAGAGCTCTCTGAAAGTCTGAGAATCATTAGTTTGTGAAAAGCCCATTGTAGAAGCTGGATTTGGACTATCGCCTGGGGTTGTTGGAACACAGTTGTCCTCACTCTGCCTCGCTCCTCCACTTTCACATACTTGTCAAGGTTGAAAATTTGTCAGTGGCCTGGACGAGCATTTGGATTGGTAGAGGCCACTCACTGCTGATGCCAGAGGGGCACAGACAGCAACACATGTCTAATTCCTGGCCGTGAGAGGAAAGAGAACCCCAATTCCTCTCAGTGAAGTTGAGAGTATGAAAATGCCTCAAGTGCTGTCCCTGTAGGCCCTTTGCTTCCCTGTCTCTCATCTCCACACACAGAGCTCTCACCCTATATTTTGTGATCACTCAAGCAGAAATCTTATCCCGTATGGCTCTGAGTCTCAGGTCACATAGGGCACATAGTATTTCAGGGCAAAATACAGTGAAAAGGGGTGGGTTGGGGTAGGTGCTACTCATTTTTACTTTCATGCCTTCTTACACCAAAAGTTCCCTAAGAATTCTCTCTGGGTTTTAAGGAAAGGATCGGATCGTTCAGCTATCTCTGTGACAGTTAGCAAATAAGAGAGGCTTAAGGGAGAAGGGAGGGAGTAGAGTGTTAACAACAAGCATGCTTTAGTCAAACTGACCTGCTTTGAATCTGAGTCTTTTCACTTACTAGTCACTCAGTTCTGTTTTTCCATTTGTAAAATGGCAGTAATGGTGGGAATGCAAACTAGTACAACCACTATGGAAAACTGTTTGGGGGTTTCTCAAACATGGAGCTTCCCTACGACCCAGCAATCCCACTCCTAGGTATCTACCCAAAAGACACAAAAACACTGATTCAAAAAGATATATGCACCTCCATGTTTATTGCTGCTTTATTCACAATTGGAAAGACATGGAAACAGCCCAAATGCCCAAAAATGGATGACTGGATTTAAAAGATGGGGTACATATATACAATGGAATATTACTCAGCAACCAAAATAAAAGAAACACATGTCTTTTGCAGCAACATGAATGGAGCTGGAAAAGATCATGCTTAGTCAGAAAGAAGAGAAAAAATACTGGATGGTTTCTCTTATAGCAGGAATATAACAGAACAGGAGAGAAAATAATGATAATGATGAACAGCTATATACCAGAGACATTTTGTGGGGGTGGAGTGGGGAATGGGATCAAAAACGGTGGTGGGGAGGGAAATGCACTGGACTATGGTGAGGGCACACGGGTGATTTGGTGATGGGAAACCCAAGGGGATTGCAACTGAGATGGAAAAATGCACAAAAATATGCAAAAATAAACTAATATTAAAAAAAAAAGAAAAAAGGCAGTAATGTTGTCAAACTTTAAACATGGCATAATAAATACTAATTCCTTTCTTCTTATGTCCTTCTATAAGGAACCTCAGTGCCACATAAAGCACATACACACATAATAAATGTAACATTTTTATTTATGAGAATTTCATCAAAATTCCTAATATGAGAGATCCAAAAACTAACAGCAATCAAAATTCAGCAAAGGGCATTAAAATAATAATAATATTAAGACCCATAGTTTAGGATTATGGCAAATCACAGAAATTTGTCTGCTGGTTGAAAGGAACAGGCTATGTTGTATAAATTGCTTTTTCAATTAATTTATCTTGACTCTGTAAGAATTAGCAATGGAGGAATTTTGGAAGTTATTATGGAGAAAAATGAAAAGGAAAGTTTAATGACTTTAAAGTAACAAAAACCCTGTTGGTAGCTCATTAACCAAAAACTCCCAAATTCCATTCACTGGCAAACAACAAATTCTCTAAAGCGATGTAAGACATTTATCACTATCACTATTTATCACTATTCTTTACCACCTCAGAGAAATACCAACCCAGCAAGCAGCAGAGGTAAAAATAAATAAATAAATAAATAAAACCAGTAAAGAACTATATACTATATTCCTTTTTAAAACGTCGTTCTTTTCAGTCTTTGCTCATACTTTTTTTTTTTCCCCAAAAGCACAATGTTTAGTCACAAATCACCCGCAGCCATGAAAACTGAACATCCTGAACTCCACCAACCTGGGAAAGTGTCTCTAGGATCTGACAGAATAAGAAATCAAAAGAGTTCACTCAGCTAAATGTTACTGGCTTTCTGGCTTTAGAAGTCAAGGTAGTGATAGTCCTCTGGCCTCAGAAAAACTCCACTGCCTGACTGACTCTTTTTAATGGCTCAGCCAGGTCAAAGACCAGGTTTTTATACCTCCTCTGCCAAAGTGGAGGTCTTTCAACATGTTCTCATTTTGTACTCCTGTTTAGGAGGGAAATATGGGGATTCTCAAAGGCCAGAGTCCTGCCTGCTAGGGGTGAGCAACACATTGAAATCAATTGTGAAAATGCCTCAACTGCTGTAGAGGGCCATGGAATGAAAAGACACTAGTCCATCCCCAGAGCCCTTTGCCAATGAGGCTGTGCAGGATCCATTTGCCTTTGTCAAAGGATCTGAGTAACAGGGTAAAGTATTCAGTTATTTGGCCTACCAGGGTATTGTGACCTATCCCCCCAAGTAATAACCGGCAGTTTTCTGCATGCTTGCTCTGTGCCTGGCACAGCACTGGCATGTTAAAGGGCATTATTTCATTTAATCCTCCCAACAATTCTATGAGGAAACTATTATATCCTTTGTTATAGTTGGAAGAAATGGCATAAAAAAATAATCATTCCTCTAAGATAAAAAAAAAATTAGGGGAGCAGCAGAATTCAAAATCAGGCATGTTGGATTCTTAAGGAATTGACACTCTGGTAGCTGAAAACAATGACTAGAGTAAAACAGAGATCTAGAAGGCAAATTTAGTACATAAAAGAACTTCCTGCCCAGACATCATAAGGACAAGCAAATGTTTTTCTTCCCCTGAGGAAGTGTATTCTGGATTGAAGGGGGAAAATAAATCCTTACTGGTGGCAGCAATACTGGCAGGACATCTGACCTATAATAATTCACACTGCCACAATAATTTTTCAAACCTCAAACACAAACATAATTTGAAAATATCTTTTTTTTTTTTAACATTCTTTATTTATGCACACAGAACTAGGAGCAGAGGTGGTGAGAGGATTCACCAGAGACAGAGTGGAGAGCAGAACAGGCAGATCCATGAAGTACACTGCTGAGGGAGCAGCAGGCAGGTTAGGAGAGGTCTGCCCCACCAGGTGGGTCACCTCCCTGGCTGGGGCTGAAACTCGTGTTGCAGTGGCTGCTATAGCTTCTTAGTGTTGTGCTTTAACCCACTGCACTACCAGAGAAGACCCAGTTTGAAAATATCTTATAGCCAATTACTTTATAATTAGAAAACTGTGGTCACATGAGGTAAATTTCAATCCTTTCAGAAAATAATTGCAAATTATAGGAAAAAAATATAAGCCAGACAAAGAATGTCTATTGTGAAAATTCATGTTCTCTAACACACTAAAAGCCATAGAGATAACTCTTTGAAAAATAATATCCTTTCCAGGTCCTAAATTCATGTTCCACATTGCTCCCTGGCCACTGAGAACCTTAGGTAAACATGTCATTGTCCATTCATTTGAAAACTCCAATATCCTTATTACCAGTGAGAGAGAGAGCACACTGTCA